CCAGGCGAAAGCGCGTTAATTCCTCTTTCCTGAAAAGCAGAACTCGTGGCAGGTTTCCGTCTTCAAAAACGTAAACATATCTCCCGCTTTTACTTTCAGGGACTCATTAACTGTTTTCTTCCTCAAAGCTGGAAATTCTTCGTATTTAGATAATGGGATTGACCTAAAGATTGATCACCAAAAGCGCTCGATCGCACGAATTTTCTCACTCATTTGCATAAACTTCAGTGTCTTGGGAGTGCTGCTTTTCATTAAGTACGCGAAGTCATCTGACCTGCTCTACGGAAACGAATAGAACACAATTTCATCTGAGAAATTTACTGAAAGACAGCATAATATCTGAAGCCGGAAGCGTCTCAACAAAAGCTTCGGATGCGTCTTGTCTCAAGAACTCGCTAACGCTCTCTTAAGTTAACTATAAATTACAACAGTTATACAATTGCGGCGGCCTGATAAATATTTTCAGAATAAAAGTCATTCGCCAAATCAATTGCTGGTCAGGATACTTCTAAGTCCTCACACTTCAGACACAAGTGTGTGACACTCCGGACATAGTAGACACAAAGATCTTGTCTCTTATGCTAATTACTCGATGTCTTAGAGGCCCAATACGACCTGTTGCAACTCTGTTTGCTTGTTATGGGGGTTTGGAAGATTTGCTCAGTTCAGTTGGGCCAATTTTGAAAAATACGCGGCCTCGGTGGGAGTCGAACCCACACAGCAGGAAGGCTTTTGCGCAGCCAACGCTCTACCATTGAGTTACGAGGCTTAACGTGAACCGTGAATTTAATCACACTAGGGTCGATTTGTTGGCCCAGCTTTAAGGCTCGTATGGAATCCACATTTCCTGAATAGAAAGCTAACTGCCCAGGCAGGATTTCGTAAGCAATCATCTAGAATCCACCAGAGTGACTACTAGGTTCACTTAATTGTTGGGGGGGGATTGGTAGATTTACTTAATTCAATTGACGCAGTTGTGGAATTTTGCCTTGGTGTCAACATCCTAGCTCATCGTTTTGGACACACACCAAGTTTTGTTTTGCATAGCATTATCACGCGTCAATACGGGTCGACGTGATTAATTGTTATATACCAGGTGACTTTACAGTGAACACCTTACCCCTTAGTTCTGTCCTTGAGCTCAATTGCTTCGTAAGGATAATTTAAATAATTCCCTAAGCATCACATGGGAATAAGAACGCCCCGCCTAATTAATAAAGCTGGCCAGTTGCTCTTCTCATGTTTGATTTGGAGGACTAAGTTATCTTTACCAATCCCTTTTTTCGGCCATTTTTTCTATTATTTCCGACTGTCAAACATTCATATAGGTGTCATTCCGTGCACTTCCTGAGAACAGAAAACAAGCATTGTCAGTAGCCTGATGAGACGCCGGTTAGGCTCTAAGATAACCGACAGTAACGAGGCTTTCATCGGGACAAAAATGCCAAACAGAGGTTCTTGGCATACATTGCGTACTTTGTATGTGTGCATACAGGCCAGAATCATATTTACACAAGGGGCACACGATCACACCGCCGTTTGTGCAGATGTCATGACAACATGCTCGTTCTTTCGTATCTGTACTTGTATGCACGCGTGTGTGTGTAAACCACATTATGCATGCAAACTCGACCTCCTAAAATCCCGCGCGGTCTTCTCTGTTCCCCAAACAGGGCACGCATAAGTACAAGCGCCTGGTAGATTCTGCTCGTAAGGATACAGTCACACGCAAAGGCTCGCTAGCAAACGTAAAAACATTGATCTTGCTGAGTCCTTTGGTTTTACTCTCTTTTGTCTGACGAGGGCATTAATCACACACATGTGATTAATACAAGAGAATGAGTCAGCTCTATGTAGAAGTGCTGTAAACAACCCCACTGCTTCTTCGTCTACTGAGGGCTTCTACGCTGAACGTTCATGCCAATTTCACAAAAGTAAGAACAGGAACAGCTCGGCTGGACTCAGGTTTGCGTACGAACGGGGAAACGTAAACAGAACATAAGCGGAAGTTACAGTCAGCTATCGCCTAGAGATGAATGGGCCTATCAAAAACAGTAAAACCCTTCTATAAGGTTTCGCTTCAATCGGTTCAGATGTAGCACTGCATTATATTTATTGAGAAGAAGCATCTCCAAATTCAAATCCTTGCTAGTATACTGTTGGTTGTTTTATTATTTTACACTGGTTTGTTTTCATGTTGATATCTTTCAGTGGTTTCATTGACTTGAAGTTGCCTCGCCTAAATCGCAACGTGTTGTCTCGTTTTCTCACAGTTTGCATGCATTTTCGGCAAAACATGTAGGTACAAAACTCCGTTTTTGGCAACCTGATCGTTATACTTGATAGAGTACTCTCGTGTTTACTTCCATGCTAATGTTGGTGTTTAGTTTAGAGTCCAGAATAGCGTTTGGGCTGAATTCAGGATTAAGTGTAGGCTGAAGGTTGGGTTATGGTTAAATTTTAGATGAGATCAGAATAAGGGTTAAGCAGAGAATACATTTAAGGCATACTATTAGGCTTTCGGTGAGGGTTTCGATTAGAACTCGTGAAAAATTTAAGGTTGAGGCGCAATTTTATTAACACTTCCACGAATCTTGCATAAAAACACCTGTATTGCCGGGATCCTTATTTCCATACTTCACGTTATTTTCTTATTTATTGGAATGTATTTCTCATCTGAGAACATATTTGCAGACGGCTTGAGACACTTTTATTCACGCAGTAATACACACGAATGTTCAGACGGGTAAAAATGCTACCCGTAGATCGTGCCTTCATCTTTGTTGTGTTCATTATGATTAGCGTTAACTACATGATAATATGCTTCCCGAATATTTCAGCGGTTTTTTAAGCAAAACTCTAAAGTACCGTTTATGCATTTATCTGCCAGTTACTTTACACATTAGCTGGGAACACTCGCTTGATACTTGTTGGTTCCGCCTCGTTTAATTCACTATTGGAGAGATTATTTAAATATCCGTACTAATTAAAAGGGAAGATAAAACCACTCTTATTTTTCAGGCTGCCTTACATAAACAAAGGCACGAAGACATACCTGTGCCGACTGGATTGGCTACAAATTCAACCACCTGGTGTACTAATTATCACACAAATGTCCATATATTCCCAGCAGACAGATAACTGTCTTCTCTCTATTTAACTAATCTCCCCTGGCATACAGGACTTTATTGTATCCTTTTAGTTTTCATTTTAAAGTTTACATTAAATCATACTAACGCAATAAGTTGCGGTTGGTACTTGCTTTAACTTATCAAAGAGTCCCGTACTTGGAAATTTTAAATAGAGCTTACTTCTCCTCTTCGAATCGCGTTGGGTAAGATCTCGTAAATATACGCATTTTTTAATCATTTGGTAGTACTGGTGCCTTTAAGAGAATGGCAAACGAAGATCTACCGAGTACAACCTATATTAGAATTGTCCATGCAGATTCCTTGTGGTTGGTCGGCCTTTTAGTGTATACAGTGTATGTAAGCAACCGAGGGAGTCCATTTTTAATGTTCATCTGTGGCATAATTCGCAGAACTCGGTTAAGCACTTTCTACTTCAGATCCTCAGATAGGTGTTGGGTGGAGGTGTGACTGTCTAGACGGCATGATGAGCATCGTCAGATATGCAAAGATTAATAAGTGCTAAGTGAATTGCTAGGTAAAGTCGCGCGCGAGTGGCATTTAATGATCTTGTCTGAATGCAAATGGAGAAAATGAGGATTCTCTGCACTGAAGCTTTTAGTATGATTATACTGCTAATTAGTGCGCCTTAGCGATCAATCAATAAGTAAACTCCTATAGATCTTGATCCCAGTCCCAGGGTTTCTCGGCCTGTCATTTGGACACGGCTAGATTCAGGGACCAAATATTTTAAGAACAGTCCATTGAGCCTCCTAGCTTTACTTATGAAAGTTTTGAATTTTATTTAGGCCTCGCTTAACTCCTCAAGCTTTACACCAAATTTCCAAGGCAAAATAAAATAGTTGGATTCAAATTGCACTAAGGTCAGATCAATGAGCATAACTCCCTCGTGTCTTCATAAACCCATAGCCATGCTTATTAAATTTGGCTTAATTGCTCTGCTTGGATAACTCCGACTTCATATGCTTATTCACTCGGTTTACAAATCCTCTGTGTTATATCGGAGTTTGACTGACTGTAGGTGGTATTCTAGTTGTCCCAGACTACAAATGTATGCATTTGTTCAATAAATTGTCTTTTGCCCATTACCCACATGTGATTGTTTCAGTCTCCATTGTTCTCAACCCTTACACGAAAGTCGTTAGTAGGCTTCGAAAACGAACGTCTTAAGGATTTATTCGAGGGCAACGGACTAGCTATAAGTGGAAAGTGGGAAATTTTTGGACAGTTGAAACAACATTTTGACGAAAACGAGATATTCAAATATGTAAAAAGGAACTGACCAAACTGATAGAATAAATTAGGAAGCTTGAAGTATTCAAAACTACACAAAATAAAGTTATTAAAACTAACATTAATTTAAATATCGGCCTCGAAAATATTGGCATATTATATTTAAGTCGGATGCCTATGTGAGCTGTTTTATGTTTAAAAATGATAGGCCTCAGTTCAAAAAGAAGTCAAGGTCCCCATTTGGACATTAAATTCTAATAACCCAACATAGTTTCAGAGTAGTGACTTTTCTTTTGGCATTTAGGTAGAATATCGTTTTTTTGTCTATTATTCCGAACTTGTGACAAATCAAGGCTATTATTCGATGCTTGTTCGGGAAACGGTTGCGTCTTCGTCATAAATTTTCATGTCTCTTGTCTATTCCAAATTATTTAAAAAAGCAAAGGGTCTAGGGCGAAAATTCCAAGCAGACAAATTAGAAGTAATTCGCAAGATTTTTACAATAAGCGAAAACTTCCTGTCCGCTCAAACTCCACTTACCAAACGGGATCTCGAAATAATTCATTGATCGGCCTGTAGTAAGTTCAATTTAGAACGCAAAATAACGTTTTGCAATACTTACACAAACTGGTCTTCGTCCATGTGTTCAGGTAGTCTGTAGTTAGATGCGAATCGGACGTTGCGCTGGTCTGTTTTGCGGATTAAGGAAGGCGAATTTGCTGAAGGAGAGCGCAACATGGCTAGAGTGGACTTGAGGGGAATCTGTCTCCCGTTGTCATTTTGCATTTCAGTGTCATTGAAAGCATCCAACTCGCCGAACAAGTAGGTTCCTGGTGCAGACACTTGCTTCCTCAGACGTGGCCTTGCAATTACCTTCTGCGACTTGTCTGCAGATTTTTTCGAATTACAAACAACAGGCACCACGTGGACTTGATCACTCAAGTGCGCAGAAGTTCTGACTGGTGGGCTGAGTGTGTGGAATGGGGATGTATAACCAGTACTGTTCCTTGAACTAGAGGTATCATGACAACTGGGTGAAGCTTGCGCAGAGACATTAGACTTTCCTAGACCTTCTGTCACGTTCAACAGCGAGCTACCTGCGCTGGTGACTGAAAGGTTTGTTGTCGGATAGAGGATTTGTTCTGTAACTATAATCCGCTCTCGACTCCATGATCGAAGGTACTCCTTCCTATGTCTTTGTCGAACCATTACTTTGTTCTTTTCGTCTTGGGGCCGACGACGCGTCTCGAGAGTGTCGCGCAGTACCTGCTGGATTGTGTACACTTCGCGTACATCATGAAAACACCCCGAGGAGCTGCCCAAGGCGGAAGACGGCAGTGTGCCGCTACCTGACCATAGTCCCCGGCGGCTATTATATGCACTCTCCTGGGAGCCGTAACGATTGAGCGTGGAGTGGCCACTGTACCAGGCACGGTTAAACGGTGATCGTGGCTCCCACCGACGTGGTTCATCTGGCCGTAGGGTCTGCTGGTTTTCCTGTTGTGGGCTCCGGAGCTGAGGCACCGTAAGTGCCGGGGCAGTAGCTGTACGAACCGCCTTTTTGCCGACTGCTACCCTCGGAGTACTGACATCAGCAGGCGGCGTAACCCTCGAAG